AATAAACCAGAGAGTGCGTTTGTGCCGGCGAGTGTGTGACATAAAGCAAACAATATGGCGACACGCAACACTAAACAGACGGAGGCGAAAAGGCTCGGGGGAGGGGGTGGCAAGCCAAGTGAAGGGGAGGGGAGGGGATTGGGCTGTTGGCCAAGTTCTCCTCCAATGTTGCTGCTGGGTTGCGAGCAACGAGCAATGAGCAACGGGCAACAATGTTGCGGAAACTCGAGTGCGCCAGCATTAGTTTTGGTCGCCAGCAAAAGTAGAAATAAGTGTAAAATTAAATTATACGAAAGCGTCGATGTGTGAGTGAAAAAGGAGGGACTTTCCCCGACACCTTCACCATTTCGCCAGCTCACCATTGAGTCGCATTGTTTTCCCTTCTGTTACTCTTTCGCGTTAAGCACAAAAATTGAGTAACTGCACGTGAATGAAAATGAAAACAAAGCCAGCAGGGGCGGTGCTGCAGGACGAACTTTCACGCTAAAAACTTTTGCATTTCTTAACTAGTTTTTGTTATTGTTTGTTGTTTTTCCCCACTCTTTTTTCGTTTTTGGGGAGGGGGTGCACAAAATGCGGAAAATTAAATTGCCCCCGCGAGCGTTCGCCTGCTTTCGCCGGGGCCAAAAAACACGGAGCAGCCAACACGCAGCCAAACAATAATTGAAATAAACACTTAAAAACTTTGACTGCAGCACTTTCTCCGTGCTTGGTCTTTGCCATTTTCCATTCTCCTTTTGTTTAACTGGAAATAGTTCTCCTTGGCTTATAAGCGAGGCAGTTAAATTCTATGAAGCTGAGAAGACAGATTTTCCTATTCGACTGCCGCAACAACAGAGCAACAAGAGCAACAAAGAAGTCACCAAGAGCGCTGCATACTTTTGTGCGCTGTGGCAATCTAATTATGGCTCTTGTGATTTAGAGACAATTACGAAAATATAATTAAGTCATTGAAGCGTTTAAACGAGAGTCAAACGGCAATAACAGGGACACAAAGCGCCGGCCACAAATGAAATTTTCGCAACATGTCCTGGGGGCGAGTTTCGTTTTCGGTCTGGTTCTCGCCCTTGTTTTGGCTTAAACAAGAAGAAGATACCGCAGACCACTCGTTGTGTTTACATTTCGCACTCATTACGGCCACCACCCCAGGCCCATGTGTTTTCTAATCTGGACCATCGAGTTTGTCAATGTCAGATTGACAAATAGCATATTTTTGGCCACACACACACTGCCTAATTATTGCGTTTAATTATGTTGTCTGAGATTAGGCACGATTTCCCAAAATATATATTTAAACCATAAATCGAAACCCTTTAACGATCACATCTGTATTTTGGTAATCGGTCATGGTCGTTTACTCAGAGGCTTTATTGTTGTGGTGGCTTTAAGAGGCATAGAAACAAGATTTAAATTTAGCCAAATTGTTGCTCCTGCCATTGTTGCTTTTGCGGTTGCTTTTTCGTTTTTTTTATATCCGCCACAAAGCGTCACTAATTAATTTGATATTTTTTTGCTGCCCTCTTGCGTTGCTAAATAGCAAAAATTAATGCCAAGGAAACACATTGCGCCCCCATTTTGTGGGCGTGCCCGATAACAAGGCTCATAACATTTCACTCCTCCTTCTGGGTCTTTTGTTCTTTGCTGTTTTTTATGGACATTCCGTGGACTGAGGCCACCGAAAAACAAAAAAAAGGCGGAAAAATTAATATCAATTTTCGAGCTTTGTCTAGGGGCTAACAACCCTCTTTGTTGTTTTTGTTGTTGCTGGATACTGCTCTGCTGTTGACGTAGATTGTAGATTATAATCAAATGTATTCTGTTCCGTTCTGTGAATAATTTTCGTTGCTTTTTACGCTACTGGTTTGTAGTAATTTTTTTTATATTTTCATTGCGTGCCTTTGGGCGCTATGAATATGTCCTTTGGCTAGCGCTGGCTATATTATATTAATAGCAATTACTCATAATTATTTCACCCTCCCCCTGCTCTCGTGCTCCCTGCTCTCGTGCTCCCCGCTTCTGTTTCCCTGCAATTAAGTTGATTACAACGGCAGTGACAGCCTTTTCCCTTGTCTCTATGTGTGTGAGTTGCACTGACCCATGAAAAGGACTGTTGATTGTGAAAAAGTGTAAAAAAGAAAAGTGAAAAGCGAAAGGTTAGCCGGCGAGCACATGCTTATAAATCACAGAAGCTCCTTAAGCCCTGCTTTCCTCTGTTTTTCTTTTTTTCCCCGGCTGGCTTGGTTGCTTTCCTTTCGTTTTTCACTCAAATTCAGTTAACCGCCTCGAGGGCCGGGAACAAGCCCTCGTATCTGGGCTGGGCATCTCTGGAGTGCGCTCCAAATGAGGATATTATTTTCGCCTTTCAGTGGCTCACACACACACACTTCTGTGTGATAATAGAACGTTTGGCCGCAAGACAAATTATTCTGCAGCCGGTGGAAATGTGAGAGTACTGCACTCGAAGATTTTTTCAACCAAAGGTGTACGATTCTGACTTTAAAGCTATTTAATCTGCAATTTGAGAACTAAAAAATTTGTATATTTAATTGGAAGAGTTTCCATTGAATTTGTATCCGTCTGTTTCTAATTTTACAGCCTAGTCAAAAATTAATCATTCCAGAAAGAACGTTGTATTTTTTTTTGAGTGAAGAGCACTTCCTACCTCCATTCGGGCTACGCCCCTCGGGGCGACAATCATCATCAGTGTCAGCAACAGGAGGCGGATCCGCTGGCTTTTGATTCTAGCGGTAAAGAGCGTTATCCCCACCGAATCCGAATCCGAATCCCATCCGAAAGTGGGCTGCGGGGCGTGTTTTTCCGTAATTGAAAAGCGAAAAGCGCCGAAAAGCCAAAGCCAAAGAGCTACGCCTGGCAGCTACAAGTGGCGGCTGGCTGGATAGACAAGTCAAGGACGCTCCGCTGCTGATTGACAACATATTCAAAAGCCAAATCATCGACTAATGCCGGAGCTAACGAGCACCGCCGCCTCAGACGGCGAGCGTCATGTGCGAAAATTAATTAACAAAATTGCGTTTTAAAAATGCGATGTGCGCTCAAAAAAACTGAAAAAAAAGGTTGCAATTACCGTTAATGAGTTTAACGCCAAAGGCACCACCAAACGCATCTCCTCCTTGACATTCCCCTTAATGAGCAGAGCCTTTTAGACAGCGCAAAAGTTTCGCAGCTTGTCTATTTTGATGCTTTCCGGTTTTCGCTACCCTTTTTTCTTCTTTCTGTTGGGAAAATATTTTACTTTCCTTTGCACTTGACTTCACTTTGACTATGGGGGTCATGTCTAAAGGAAAAAAGTGCACAAGGCACGCAACAAGTCTTGGCCCGAACTTGGAACTTGGCCAAGCACCTTTGACGTGGCTTCTGGAAATTACCCTTTTTACGTGGCACATTAATTTCGAGCAGGTTCACTGGGTTCAGTGAGCAGTCAACCCCAAACATACCCACACACGAACCCTTCTCTTCACATTTGACCAGTTCATTGAAGCGTTTTTGATGTCAGGTTCTTTTCCTGGTTTTCCTCGGAACTATTGCCATGGCTGCCAACAAATGTGCCGCAAATGGCAGTAATGACTACCATCGCTTTGATTTCGACTTACAGCTCTATCTGCCCATCCATCAGCTTCCAGTTCCATACCAGTTCCAGTGGCCGGTCTATTCTTTATTTCCCCTCCGCCGGATTTGTCTCAATTGGTAAATGGAAGCCAATTAGTGGCCGGGCTGTGTGGCCAAGTGTTAAATTAATTACCTAATGGCTGCACTCTTGACTCGGTGCAAAGTTTGCTTATTGAACTCTTAAATAAAATGCACATGCAACTCACTCGCACTATTTGTCCATAGATATATCTGGACGTGTTTGTGTGTTGACTTAATTATATTTGCAGTTTGCAGTGAGGAAAAACGGAATTGCCGGTAATCAGAGCTGGAGAGTCGGTCGAGTCGGTAGAGGCGGGCCGAGTGCTGCACAAATAGCCAGTTCAGGTCGTGTCGATTCGCTTGGGGTCAGGGTAAGGGGCTGACCCATGACAATGGCAGAGCAAATATTAAACAGGCGGACAAACATGCCGAAGGGGTTCACTGCTAAAAAATATGGCTTCTCTTTCTACAATTTAGTAGAATTATGGGCACAATTTTCGATCTGCAGAATCTCCAATACAACAGAAGAAGAGTACCAATCAATTTGATGATAGGTGAGTGGCTCTGCCTTCATCAAAATATTAAATGAGATTCGAAAGTAAAGCTCTTCCCTATCGTATATATTTATTTTGAAAATAAGCTTGATTGCTTTTCTTCAAGTGCATTGATGTGTGTGTGGTCAAGTCGTAGAAATCTTGACTGGGCAAATTCAGTTATAAAAATGGCCAGTCTAGCGCAGTCAATGCAGGGAGACAACAAAAAGAAGATCCGGCTTAGAGGTAGAGCCATGATCCCCAAAGGGGCAGGACGACGTACACAGAACACACACTCTGTGAGAAATGTAAACTTAAATATTTTATGGCATTCAAGCAGCCGGCACGGCACAAAGGCTGCAGCACGGAGCAGGGGGCAGGAAGAAGGAAGTGATGCCAGGTAAGTGCCGGTCGCACTGAAATAAAATTGCATACTTCATGGCGCAGGATGCGGCAAACACAACGACAGCAACAAGGAGCACGAAGCACGGAGCTCGAAGCCGCCTGCCAGACGTCTTTGTCAGCAGGCAGCGAAGAAATTCGATGAAATTTATTTACAGTTTAAAAAGTAGACAAGTGCCAAGGAGCCGAGAGCCAAGAGCAGAAAGGATACAACTGCAATCGACTCTCGTGCGTGTCTGCCCGGGTTTATTTAAAATTCAATTATGGCACACAATTGCCGGCTGCTTGCCGCAATGCCAAATGAAGCGGGATGTTTGCGGAAATAAAACCCCAAGATACTTATGGGACAAATGGAAAGTGCGCCTGCCAGCCCGAAATGTGTGCTGAGTATATTGGGAGACTTATTGAATTGCTTACCAAATAGTTCAGTTTATATATATACTGTTCATCGATCCTTACCTGCAACAAAAAAGAGAGGGGAACAATTAGTTAGTCATGCGCTGGTGGGTCGGGTTGGCTTACAACTAAGACATTGGACAGTTATGGCAATCTCTGGGTTATCTATAGGCACACAATATCAAATTTCATACGACAAATACTAGAGAGGTCGAGGGGGTGATGGGTATGGTTTTCAAATCATAAATAACGCAACAAATCGAATTATGCCGAAAGAAAGCCACGAATAGCTATCAAAATCAAGGTAATCGAAAAAATACGTAATGAGCAATATAATTATTCTATGATATAGATTTCCTTAATTCATTTAATGATGCACCGTTTTCAGGAAATTGCCTCACCGGATCATTTTTCAAGGTCTACGGTCTACCATCGAAATTGCGACGCCATTCAATCTAATTATAATTTATGTCACTGGCACACAGCCTAGGGATGCCATTTTTGCCGAACACGCTGTCTGCTGCTGCCTATAATTTTAATATTCCCCCAGCTTTCGATATCTGTTTCATCATCATTTCCAGATCCAGGAGAAGGAGCAACAGGAGCTCGTCATTGTGACACCCGAAATCTTGTTAAAGAAATCTGAATTATCAACTTTTATTGATTTGCATAGCAAGCTGAGAGCCGAGAGCTGGGAAAATGGTAAACAAGCCCACAGAGCTCAGTGCTATTTACGCTCCATTTTCCCGCTTTTCACTTTCGCTGGAGACGGAAAAAAGTGCACGAAAACAATTACGATAAAAATGTGAACTCTCGTTTGACTCGGTTTCTGTTCGGTTTCTGTTCTGCCTGTCCCGACTCTGGATGGCTGGATGGTTGGATGCCTGGATGAATGGGGCTTTGGTTAGGTAACCTGCCATGAGACAAGCTTTGAGCACGGATAAAAGCAAATTATGATAACAATAAAGATTTAACTAGGGGGAGTTCGAGTGGGCGGCGCGCTGTCAAGTGGCATTGCCATGGTCCTGCCATTGAGGAATCGACGGCACAAAGGACCCGGCTAGAAGCAGGGACAATTTAAATAGACATTTATCTTGTGGCGCACACACTCACACAGGGCAAAAAAAAACAGGAAACCCACGCACACACACACGTGCCGGTGGTGCCTATAACAAAATTACAGCGACTGCGGCTGATCCATGACGATGATGCGACTGACGATAATATGGGAATCCCCCGCTTCGTGCGAGCGAGACAACGTCAGACGCTGGTGGTTGTGGGTGTTTGTTCCGAATTTTCCTACTTGTTTTGTTTGATTTTATTTATGCAACAACAACAACAACCGCAGCGTTTCCCCACTGCCTCGCCTAGGTCTACTTTTTGTTTTCCTTTCGCTTCGCTTTTTTCCTCCTTTATTATTTTCTTTATAATTTTTGGCTTGGCAAATGTTTTTCAAAGCATAAAAATACTTTTACATTAACTTGTTCCAACACACACTCAAACCAAAAGTTGTAGAACATTTTTGGGTTTGCTTTTAACGCTCAACGACTTTTGGGCCCAAGAAAAACAGCAAGTTGCCCGCCAACAACAGCAATAATAATCACAACAACTGTGCCGTGTGTTTATGGGCGGAATTCCCAATTTTAGGGGAAAAGCCCGGGAAAGTTGCTCTGTCTATCGGCTATATCAACATCATTTGCGTTAAGTGGTTTGAAAGCAATGCGCCGAAAAAAGTTGGAGCATTTACGATTTTCCTAATGCGTTGCCCTATCCATCACTCCAAAAATTCACCCGATTCACACAAGTCGCTGGCCTATTAAACTGCAATAAAGCCATGTCTTGGCTGGCTGCCAAAATGGAGTAAAGCAACAGTTAACCAGATTTTGGCTTGCCTAATTGGCTGCCTGTTGTTTGTTGCTGTCTGCCCGCAGGCCCAAACACAAGAACACAAAACAGGAAAGAAAAAATAACACCAGGCGAACAAAAAACTGTTGCATACTTACGGGGGCACCCCTAATAACATTTGCTGATAATGTGTCGGTGTGTGCGAGTGTGTGCGACTGTGTGTGTGGCAAAAATAAATAAAATACTTTTGGAAAGGGCTTTTTGCGGGAGCTCCTTATGTGCAGGAGATTCTCCCCTTTGTCTAGGCAAAAAAAAAAAACGGAAGAATGGAAAAGCAGAAAGGCAGCAGCATAGATTTCGCCATATCGATAGCAAGCGTATTGCATATTTGCTTTTGAGCTCCCAAACGAAGCAAGCTGAACACTTTTATGGCTGCTGGGCAAAATTTATGATTTCCCCTTCTGCCTTTGTTAAAAAGGGATTTCGTTTTGTACAGCTCGTTACCTGACTGCCCCGCCTGCCCCTTCTGCTACTGCCGCCTGTTTGGGCTCGCCACAATTTAAGCGCTTTAAAATTTGCATGAAAATCAAAGCATACAGCAGCAGACCGAGCAGGCAGGACTAAATTATGGCAATTAAAACAAATTAACTGAGTGAGCACAAAGCGCTTGCCAAATACGGGTATCAAAGTTCAAAAGCCTGCCAATAGAAAGTTAACTAAACAAAGTACTAATGAACTTGGGTTCACGGCACAGACAGGTTGGCTGGATGGCTGGGAAAATTGATTTGCATAGCAACCGGAGCATGTGGCATAGTCTGCCAAATCGCAAGACACTCGCTAAGCAGTTTAACTATTTAGGGCAACAGCCAGGGCTGAAGCACCACTCAAAGCTCCTTCTCCTTCTCAGGAAGGGTGCCGCACGCCATGGCAACTACAATTTGAGGCGTACGCCGCAGGCTGAAGTGTCAAAGACATGGCCATCACAGGCTTGCTTGTCGGCTACACAAATGTTGACAAGCTAATGAAATGTGAGGCCCCCAAAATTGATACACTTGCCCAAAGACGAAGACGATGATGAACTCCAACTCCAACTGGAGCTCGAACTCACTCCTCGGAGCCATTGACAGTGAAAAGGAGTCCCTGGCGACCGTTTTGGACCGTGGGGGCCAAAAGCTAAATTGTTGCTTAGACATTCGGTTATGCAAATCGAAATCATAATGAAATCAACAATGGCAAGACGTAGCTGGCAGCACTGGAATTTCTGGAGAATTGATTGACGGACAGTCAACGATAGGAGCTTATTTAAATTTGAAGGAACAATTATTAAATCAACGGAAACGTAGTTTCTTTTTTAATATATAATAATTTTGTTTATTTATTTAACTTATCAATTTAGGCTTAGAAGCAAAACTTTGCTACTTTAACGGGCATGTCGTAAAATAAACTAGCTTCAGTAGTAGACAATCCGGAGCAGGACCATAACTTAGTTGGGGTGAAGTTTCAATTTATCTGCCACATACATTACGGAAACCCCAGGAAAGAAGAAGGCAACACGTTCAAATTGGACCTCAAACGGAGGCATAAAATGTGCGATGAATCGGCCGTATCGGCGTGTATATCATGCCACAAGGAGAATCGATTCAAAACTGAATTCCAAAACAATTTGCCGGGGACACAGAACGCCCCAAAGACATGAGTGGTAAATCACATCAATATGTAACTCAGTCAGCAGCCAGAACCAGAAACAGAACCCAGAGAGCTTGAGCAAAGTGGAGCAAAAACAGATGGCAAAGATGTTTATCTAAGAGCAATGGTCCAGGAAACGTTTCCGTCAAACCCACCCACATCTCACATCCACCGTTCCAACGATTTGCTATGCAATTTTACACACTTGACCATTAAACGTAGCCATTGGGAGCAGTTTGCATAGCAATGAAGCAGAGACAGGCGGGTTCGAAGAGTCCGAGGTCTGAATAGAAAAGCAAGGAGTCGGAGTCGGGTCAACTTGATGAAGTATGAATGATTACGTCAGAGCGGGGAACATATAGCTTAGCTTAGCCAGGGGATCCCCGGATGAGGATGGGGATGCGGATGATGACGACGATGATGGCCATGCGAGGGCTAACCGCATCGAGGAGGTGTGTAGTTGACTGTAAAAACTTCAATGAATAAATTTTTCTTTCCTTGGTGGCCGTAAAAAGCATAAATATAACTCAGACACCAGTCTCACAAACAGGATGTGAGAGAAATAGTAGCAGAGTAAATTGATCGAAATGAAAATGCTCATAAATTTGCATACGATGGGCCAAATATTGTAATTGAGCGATGGAATTTATGGCCCAACTGATAAAAAGTGAAACAATTTAACTCCCTTGCACAGGTCTAAAAAAAAGGTGAAAGGGTTTTTTATTAAAATAAATAAAGCTTTTAACGGGAGCAACTCGACAAAGAAAATTCCATTCACCCAATTCTTACTATATTTATTCCATTATAAACTAAAAATATAATGTTTTAAAATTATTTGTTTTTTTTTTTTAAATTTTCGATTAAATTAAGTGCCAAAAATAAAAATATAAATACGTTCAAAATGTAAATGATTTTTTGATTTGATTTGTTGATTTTCTTACAACTTTCTCTCTGTATGACCATCAATTTGATCCATTAAAGACCACCTTCAAATTAAATAAGAAAAGCCCGTATTTTTGCATTCCCCTTCCTGGCCCTCCTGACACTTGACGATTTGTCATGTTGACACAATAAAACGTCAGAAGAAGCTCCAAAGTCAGAAGCACACAAACGAGAAAAAATGCCAAGTAGATTCTATGGAATTATGACAAACTGTCTCGAAAATGCTGAAAATACTGTTAACGTTTTGGCTCTGGAGCAAAGCGAACTTGGACAAAGCATGGGGGAAAAATTATATGAACTGCAGCTCTTGCTTTTGTTGACTGACGAAAGGAGGAACGTGGCGTATGAGCAATGTCTGCTGATGAGAATGATGAAACAGCAGAAAATATGCCAGGAGGGGGCAGAAGGCAGAGGGCGGGCAGCATGCAAATACAATGAACTTGAGTGGAAAGTGGAGTCGCTTTGCTGGTCTGCCTGCATTTATGAGCATAAAAAATTGGCGCCGCATTTACACAGACAATCAAGCGCAGTAGTCTTCGCTTTTCCTGGCTGTGGGCTGTGGGGCTGTGGAAAACGGAGGAAAATCGCTT